AACACAGAAGTTCCGAGACAAAACATGGAAGCCAACCTATCTCAACGTCGCTCCAAAAGGGCTATCATGTTGCTATCCTGTGTCTCTTGCCTCAATGTTGCAGTCAGTCAGAACATCCAAGAACTCTATCCCAACCCCCCCCAAGAGGCGGATCCGTTCTCGACGGACCCCAAGCTCGAAGTTCCGACCTGCATGGCGGCAAAAGGCCGAGCTGTGAGGGAGGTCACGTCACATTACTCAAGTTGCTTGGTGCTACACAACAAGGATTGAAGCCACCTACATATTAGTGTTTGTGTAATATGAATAATTATAGTCGAGAAGGCCCTCGCTGAAGCATCCCCCACACATGAGATGATTCCTCCTGAAAGCCCCGCACATTCATACTCTGGCGTTGATAGAATTTCATCATAAGTCATAAGTGGCTTACAAACAATATGCGAAACTACATGAAAGCAAAGGCAAGGCTAGGCAGTAATTGATCATCGATCTTGGAACCATTATGAGGAAACATGCCCACTGCACAGAACACAACATGCATGGACCCGGCCAAGCAAAAAGGCACCTTTGCTAGGGAATAAGGTGCTGCAAATAAACATTTGCCCCCTACTTCATACTCAAGTACAAACAAAAGTAGTTGTCCAAAAGTCTCCCAAAGCCTCTTAAACACACGCACAAGTAAAAGAAAACAACATATTGTGAACAATACCGATACCTCTCTCATATTTGTGCAAATTATAGTAATTCTTATGTCATATTGAACATCCTATCCGGTGGTCAGAAGTCATCCTCTCTGAACCCCAGAGATTCCTGTTAAACATCGGATCAAGACCTACTGACATACTAGTTTCTTGCTACTAGTAGTGATGGCCTCCACCTCCACCCTAATAGCGATGGCCTCCAACCTACTACTGTAGCTTCTTGCTATATTGCTATACTGCTAAACCAACACGGTCTTCTCATGTCTTCACCCTGTCGGCTCCGTCGGCTCCCAAAGTTTCATGCGAGTAGCGACCCGGTGTGGGGTCACACAAGCCACCACGCTGCCAAAACGCCAGGGCCTGGGAGGTGACGAAGTCAGTTTTGGAGTCGACCTCAGAACCTTCAAGTCTGGCACCTCTCAGTCTGGGGCTTAAGGACTCTGGACCCCTCCTTTGGGGGATCCACTGATATTTGAAGGGCAGGGGAACCTCCAAGGACCAGAGGTGGCAAGAGAGTAAAACAAGGGTTTGTAGAATTTTATAGTAACATGTCTTTCCACAACCATACATGCTTGTTCCCTTGTTTGAGCCAATTGGATAGGATAAATAGCACAGTGTGACACTCCACAGAACTTTTGTTGTGTCAAATCATGTTCATCACAAGCACTCCTTGGGGAGGCAGCAAACACTGAATCCACCGCACAAAGCAGTGCACTCCACATACAAAATTGGAAAACCATCTGTTGTTGTGTAGAGGAAGATGGAATTCCCAAAGGTCATGCCATCCACTTCCACGCCAGCGATGTTAATAAACTTCACTAAAAACCAACTCACTGAAATAATCATGTAAGCAAAACACAGACACACACCTCTTTGATACCTTGTAGAAGAAAATTGTCATCCAAGGGGCCATGTTCCACTTCCATCATTATTTCAGGGAGTGTAGTTGATGCGTACTCTCCTCGTACATCCATCAACTATCATTTTTTGTGGTCTTGCTGGATGCTGCAACGATGCACATCTTATGTTGTGGCTGCAACATGCTGTGAAGACGAGTCATTTGGAATTTGGATCTCACACAGCACGAGAAGAAGACGGCAGTCAGAAAGTAGCAGCAGCCTCCTCTTTCGCTACTAGTCTGCCAGCCAGTCTCGGCGCTTCAAGATAAATACAGAGGTGATCGTACTGCGTATTCTCACATGATCTCACTATGGCGCCATAAACGTCCACCCATGATGCCGGATACCAACTGGCTGACATGCTGGCAACAAGAAAAACGCCACGAGGCGGAATGCCCCCCGGTCCTGCATCTGTGGATGTGCAGTGTTTCCTTCTACGGCGCAAATCCTATATAAATTGTGGAGCTACCTGGGGGGTCAAAGACCTTTCACCCTGGAAGGTTGAGCTCGTAGTCCATTCCTCATTTTCCTGTAGTCCACCAGGGCACCCCGGTGGATTTCACCCACAGCCACCTATGCCTATCCATACTACAGTATACCTGCACATTCATGCTTTCACATCCCGTCCCTCACCCGCTGAAGTTGGCGTCCACGTGCCTTGAAAAAGGCCGTGCGCCGAGCATGTGACGCTGATCACTGATCTCGGCTTCCGGGCCATGGACATCAAACGCGAGGGCACCATGCACGGAGCACCTGAGATTCGTTCCACGAGGTACGTCGGTGAGGCCTCGATCGACGCCCATCCGGCACCATGCCCCAGCTGGACACCTTGCTTGCCACCCATAGGACACCTGCAGATTTTTGGGCAATGATGTTGATTCTTCTGGCAGGTGCCAATAACACAAAGAAGACTGTGGAGTTCCAAAAATGGTCATACCACAACCCGCAGCCAAACCTTGCGAGAATCCAACGTCCAGCACCCTGTGTCCTCCGAAGCGGGGTGTGAAGATAAACCTGCTGAGCTACCTGCCACTGGCCGAAATCTGTGGTATTCGGAGCAAATAAAGACCCGCAGGCACCAGCTGGTCGCATGCGAACAAGGCTATCCTGTGAAAACACCGCAACCTTAAGTCTTAAGGTAGACCATTTGTCCATTTGCTGTTGCCAAAAGCATAGCTTGTGAAGCATCATACCGGTAGACCGACAAATCTACGACCCACCAGCGCGCGCATCACAGCGATCCACTTGATTGACAGACAGTATACGACCCACCCCACTGGACCGCCAGAATCGAAGACGGTTAAGATGGGCACGGTTCTTTTCAGGATCGGTTGCAGGATCCTTGGTCAGCTGGGCAGGCTTCCAGCATGTTTACAGAGTTTACAGAGTTTACAGTTGCTGATAGAATGATTGCTCTTCCTTAGGTAGGGACCATGTGGCTGTTACCGGCTGTTACCCCCTAAAATTGTTATTCAAGGTAGTGTCCGAATGATAGAAGATGATAGAAGTACGCCATCAGGGGAAGGAGTTAACCCAGAGATACCAAAAGAAGTGCAAAGAACCCCCAAGCTAAGCAATAGCACCAAACTCCCTTAAGACAGATGGACATCCATGGAATGCTTGTAGTCATCTTGGTCTTGCCTCAACAGGACCTGCAAATTGGTACAGTATGTTGTGCCCTGCAAGCACAAAGCACAATGTTGCAGCAAGGACAGGTGCTCTAATGTGCTCTACAATACTCTACCTGTCAAGTTTTTGGCCTTGCAACATATTCATGTATTAGCATTTACTTTAAAAAAAAAAAAAAAAACTAGTCTTGGTAGATCTCCTGTCTCTACTGTGCAAACACATTGAAAAGCTTCTGGCCAATACTTCCATCGCCCTAAACATGAAACAGTGAGACACCAATGATGACTTGGTGATGACAAATCCCTGAAACAATCTGGTACCTCACCTCACTCATCCATTCATCAACTTAAAAATCGACCAGCATGTGCTCGGTGTTTCTTCTCTTCCCCAAACCCTCCCCGATCCACTCCAAGCCGCTGCGAGGTTGGAGGAGACCCAAACCTGCTTGGGGCCGTTCCAGCGGAGACCATATCATATCCAAACAATCAAACCGCAAAGGAAAAACCACAGCGAACTGGGAACGTGCTCTGATGATCCTCCGAATGGGAACGTGCTCAAAACCCTAAAGGCTCGATAGCTTTGGCCGGGTTCGGGCACCAAACCCTTCGACAGCGTCCAGTCGAGCGACAGGAGCGTCCTCGGTCAAAACCTTTGGGGCGGTTCTGTCACGGAAACCTCCGAGTCGACTCGGCCGCAAAAGCCTTTTTGACCACGTGGTGGATGCAGGACGGAGTTAAGCCAGACCATCTTTTGATCCTTTAGCATACTACTGATGTTCACTTGTACAGGTTCAGAACCTTGAAGATCAAAAACTAGTGACGCTGTTTCTTCGAGATGGTGTGCTAGATTCTCAGCTGGTTGGCACCAACACATCTCCACACCCATCACACAAATGGGAACATAGCCATCCACTGCTCAGCCATGCTCCACTGCTCAACCTGCAACCTTGTATCTCCACTCAACTCGACCCAGGTGGCAGCAACCCAAAACCATCATCGTCCAAGTGGCGTCTTCCGAGGCCTTTCCGAGGGCAAAGATCGATGGACAATCCCCCCAGTTGCTCACCACGGGCTTTGGAATGTCGCATGGCTGGACAACTCTAGCTCATTCAAGAAGAATGCGGAGGCGTATCAGTCTGACTTCTGCATCGATGTCCATTGTTTCTTTCAATCAAACGTGTCACTGATCATCTCCCTGCTTGTCACTAAAGAGTCAGTACAGGACCTAGTTGATTCATGGCTTGGTGTTTACGAGAGGTGTCCTCGTCAAATAAATTATAACGAACTTTCAAGCCGTGCGAAACCGTGTTAATCTCGGGTGCAAACTATCCGGCTCAAATGCCTTGTGTGTCATGAAGCGACTTGAATACCTGAAACAGTTGCCAAAAACCCGAAGTTTCCAAAATGAAGATCGACATGAACGGCGGAAGGGCCTTGATGCTGTCCCAAAAGCTTTGCGCTGCCGCCAACGCCTCACGATGTCAACAACAGCTGTCGCCGAGAAATCAGGAGTTGATCCCTGGACTTTTAACATGCCCGATTCCCGATCATCATCTCATGAAGGGACGTAAGAACATAAAATGTCCGTTCCTTCTGCAAATCCGATCCAACATCTTCGATAAGTGGTCCCCAGTGAAGATGAAGGCTGAATACCTTTTACGACCTCGACCTTTGGAGGTAGGCTCTTCACGGTGTCCAACGATGTCCTGTGCTTTTCTCTCGCAAACGACCGTCACGCCACAGGACCCGGAGTCCCGGGCTACGCACGCGGACCGCTAGGCGGACCGCTTGGCGGCCGCGGTCTGCGGCAGTGGAAAGTACTTGCTGACACGGTGTTGGTAGGTCTTGTACTCTGGGTACTTGCTTGATGACAAGGCTTCGGTGATGTCCAAGGATGCTCCAGGCAGCAGAAAAAGACCTGTCAGGAAAACTGCACCCCAAATGGACCAGTTCACCACTTCTCCTGTCGCAGAGATACTGAAGAGATAGAACGCCTCAGCTCATGGAGCGCCTCATGACAGTCACCATTTTGATGTACAGTGTACCCTGGCAGCAACAACAGCAACATGTGAGTCACACAGATTGCCTTTGTGCTCTCGCTCTGCAAATAGAATCTGCAGTTGCATGATCTGAGATGATCTGAGATTTAAACACATGTTAAGCAGCGTAAACAACTGTTACAATCACTCTCAGCGAGGAACGCATCTTCTGGTGGCGAACAAACCCCTCCGTCGGTGGATCGTGAGACAAAACATCTTGACATCTTGAACCTGTCTGTAGCACCCCACATGCCAAATCGCCTACAGTGAGGTTCTTCGCAAGAATTGTTGAGACGTCTGCATCCGTGTGGGTGCCAATCTACTCTCTCTCCAACAATCATGAAAGTGGACTGTCTGGCCCGCGCAAAGACCTTTATTTCTCTACAAACAGGGGGGTTGTCGCTTCCATGTTTGTTGGGAGGGTAAAGCAAAACATCGGAGCTCTGGCTTCGGATCAGTCTGCCCCTCTTTCTTGTGGTCAGATTCTAAACACGTTCCCCACGGCCCAACGAACAAAACACGTTCATCAAAAACATCTTGATGAGACAATAACATCTTCACTGCCAGTGAGTATGTTTGGATGTGCTCGAAATTGCTCTGGTTAATCAAATACGCAAAGAAGTACCAACTGTTAAGTGATCGAACTCCTTCGAAACCAAGTCCACGAAAGGGATGTTGTCCAAAGTAAGCTCAACCTGTCATTGCCTTCTTTCCAAGGAGCCCACCACATGGTGACCTCACAGAAATAGTTGGGATGACGTGACAAGGCCCAAAGGCCACTTTGAATGAAGCCAGCTGCATACTCGCCCATCTCTTCCTCAAACCCGTCAAACATGGAGACTTTGGTATAATTCGATCCAAACCTTTGTAGTGGTTTGCCAGCTGTCAAAAATGAAAGACATTTAACGACCGAAACGGCGCGTTTTGTCATCCTCAGCGCGGAATACTAGCAAGCTTGGCCAAGTCTCTCTAGTCTTCAATATTATGAATCTTATGATATACTATATTCGTTTATACAGTGTAATATACTTTCCAAACTAAACATATTAAAACAGTTTCAGTTACAGCAACTCATGTGTCATTTCAATTATTGATTTGTCCAATCCCAACATTCGCCAGTGGATGGGGCCTGGGACCTGTTTCCACCAAAAATGATCTTATTTCACACCCTCAAAGAATCCCCACCACGGCTGAAGGACTTTCACCAGAACCTCATGCTCCCAGCTCGCGCACGTTCGGACTTCACGTGACTTCACGCAGCTCCTTGGCTGCCTTCCGGCGGTACTTCTCCGTCTGGAAGGCAAACATCTGCGCGTCCGCCAGCGCCTCTCCCAGCACCAGAAGCCTCGTCCGCTGACGCAACGTCTGATGAGTCTGAGTCATGCGGAAGGGGAGGAGTCCCCACGGTTTTCCATGGAAAGAAAGGGTGTACCCCTGGGGGGGGGTGATTCCAGTTCCCAAACTCCTTGATTCTGTGACCACGGGGATGTCCCAAGAGGAATTCCAACATCATGTGCCATCATGTACCCTCGCTGTACCACCTGGGATCTGTGGATATTATCGGGTTGGTCCATGGAGTTCCCAACTTGTTCATCACACGGGTCCGAGTGGAGTGGAGGTTCCTCAGAACAAAAAAACACCAATCACAAAGGCCCTGAACAGCCAATGGATGACGCATGGACGGCATGGAGATCACCTGAACTGAGGTAACCCTCTGCTCATGTCACTCTGTATCGGACCATTTGCAAGGACAACTGACCACCAGTTTAAACCACGTGAAACAGTACTGTCACATTCAAGGTGGATCGAATCTGCAAGCTTCCAACTCCAACACCGGGAACCCACTGCGACATACTGCGACCAGATCAGCCATGCGACAGGTAGAGCAGCGCCGCGACCAGATCCAGTGCGGTCAAAGGCTCTGAGCTGGAGAATGCGGCGGCTGCGGGGGTTGTAAAAGCCATCACGGCCACCTGCTGGAAAAAGCCTCAGCGCGCTGGCAAGTGGAAGGAGATGGCAGGTGAAGGGGGACATGCGGCATGCGGCTAAAGCTTTCAACCAACATGAATCCTCCGGCCTCAGGCCTTATAAGGTAGATTCACAGTAAACTGAAGAATTTGAAGAGCTACCGGATGGAGAAAACCCTGTATCTACAGGGTACGTCTTACTGTATTGCGTTCAGACTCCCAATTCCCTGTTCTTCACGGTTCTTCAGGTGGTCCAGAATATGGTCATTTCTCCAAGCATTCATGTAGTCTCAATGTGATGCTCAAACATAATGTTCTCCAATACTCCTGATGAGCTGCCTCCTGACCAAGTGACAAATAAAAATGAGGTTGAAGACTTCCCATCTCCAGCCCGGATACCACTTCCGGATCACGGCCCAGCGATAGTCCTCCCCTCCAGTGAAGCCACCCTTGATGTAGAAGTTGTAGGTCAGCCTGCCAAAATCACACCGAGCTGGTGCAAACATATGCATTTCACAACCAGATAGCCGAGAGGTCTTGGCACAGGGTGCTTTTGCTGCGGCACGTTGGTGCATCGCCCGGACAACTCCTTGGATATATATATATATATATACATGTCAAACCACATATTGATATAACTCAGGTAACACCAAACCAACAAAGACTGTATAGCTCAGACAAAAACATAACAAAAAAAAAACATCTGGTGCATTTGACAATTCAGCCGAACTGTAAGACCACCATGGTCGAAGCGTCCAACCTTCATGATGAGTCAGCCGCCTTTTTCTGGGTCCAGCCGCTCCCCCGTTTCCGCCGACCAAAACGGTGTTGGACAGAAGCGACTCAAAGGGTGTTCGTCGTCTCCTTGCTGCATACTTTGCTCCAATGCATGGAAAAGCCCGCCTTACGCCCCAAAGGGTGGCTAAGAGCGTCATGATGAGGAGCCTGCAGGACTGTGTTGCTTGGGATACTCTAGGCTTCAGATTGAATGCAGCTAACAACCATATTTGGGATGCTTCAAAAGCAAAAGCATTTGCTCCTGACATCTTTTCAGGGAAGCTCCTGCCGGTCGCATCTATGCACAACCCCCCATCAGCCCATCTTGATCATATGTCACCCCCCAAAATAAAGAGGATATCCAATGCAAATGGGTGGGTTTATTAATTCTAAGAGTCCATGTCTACAAAATTAAATGGTGGGGTGGCAAGCTCCAACTCCGGAACCGTGGGATGTTTGCCAGGTACCTCCACCCGTATGAAGGCCACAACTTAGTGGCTGACTCGGTACGTGGACCGTGGACCCCTGCAGATCAGCGATGGAAAACGAGCCTCAAATTCAGGCCATGTCTCGTCGAGGCCAAGAAGTAATGCCAAGTGTAGACCTCGGTTTGACCGAGTCCAACGGCCACGTTCCCTGTGTGGAACCATCGAACCACTAGCGGAGACCGTGACGATCGAACCATATAGTCACAGCTTCCGTTCCCAAATCTCGAGATCGAGTCCCGGCCTGGCTGCTTGAAAACCGATCCCACGTGTAGTCTACATCATGTCAAACTAGATCCTCTAAGAAGAAATCACCCTCAACTGTGACCGTGTCACTGACGAGAAGCCCACGGCATGATGGACCACAAGCGATCCACGATGGAAGGATCAGAGGTACCAGTGCTGGGAATATGGCGCAAGGAATACCTGGGAGGAGCACAAGAAGACGGGTAGCTTCACTAGTAGTCACCCCACTGGACTAAGCTACTGGTCGGTTGAGTTGGTTGTTTGGACTCGGAATGTCTCAAACGAGGGATTCTAGCTGACCAAATGGGGTCAGGACCCTTCTTCTTTCCTATCAACTTCAAC